GCGTCGCAATACTCTAGAAATTCAGGCGTGAGGTGGCTGCTGTGGCCGTCAAGGATCAGAAGCCGCCATTGACGGCGAGCTTTAGCTGCTGTATAGCGATCGAACACCTGCTGAAGCCAGGCAAGCCCCAAGTCATTGTTTGATCATCCCGTCGCTGAGTGGGAGATAAAAATCTGGTGTTGTTCAGCAATAAGGTCGTCTACCCAGGTTGATTGAATCCCAGAGGTGCCCTGGTAGATGAGAGCGGGCGGTAATGCCTCTCCAGAAGCGCATACGCAAGCCAGCAGTGTTACCCATTCTCTGTTGCCATCTCTGAGCGCTGCAGTGCGCTCTTTTGACTCCCAAATTGCCTTAGAGACTATCCTTTTAGTGTGACTGTTGATGCCGACAAAGAAGCCTTTCTCATCCATATTGTACGTGTTGCGCTCATCAACGCTGTGCTCACGCATCTTGGAGTGCAATAGATTGAAGTACAGCTCGTACTTGCGCTTGCTGTCAGCTAAAAAGCGCTCACGATCCATCCTGGTGGTCCATTTGGTGGTAAGCTTGTTGGCGTGGCGATGCAGAAACCGAGTAATCCAGCTCTCAGAGACCTCCCACTTCGTAACCGCAGAGGCGAAATTTTGCAGCATGCTTCTAGTGGGTGGCAAGCCGTCTCTTGTGCATCTTTCTATGTATTTGACAAGTACCTCCTCCTGTTGTGGGCTGAGTAACTGTCGCTGGCGCGCTTCTTCTGCATTTGAGCGTGTATAACAGTTGTGCCGCCGCGACAGCGTTGTTCGGTCAACTCTAAACATTTTTGCGACTTGGCGGTATGACAAGTTATCTCCAGCTTTATGCAATTCTAAATATTCAATCGCTTCTTGAATTGGATCTATGGTGGTGGAGTTGTGACGCGTTGAAGTTGTGGGTATCTCAATGTTGTGATGTTCCGGGTGGCTCATCGGCTGAACTGGCTCATCGGCCGCACGGCCACGGTACGTAGCCTGTGCCACACTTGACGTCCATCCAGCGCCCTGTGGAGAAAGTTGACATATCGCTGCAGATGTCAATAGACATACCGTCAAATGGTTAGCTGCTAAGTCATATCCTACCGTCGGTGATGGATGTTCTGAGCTCCTGTTCAAACTTGTACATTCAGTACATGAAATGCACACTGAATGTGTGAAGGACGTATTCGTAGATTACATCCATTCACGTACGGTATGTGATGTTGCGGATGTACCAAGTACTATTTAAAGTATGGAGACATCCACGGACTGAACGCGTAAATAAGTGATGTTCGGCAAGCAACATAGCACTTTCAACAGTGAACCTTCGACGTCCCGATAACGCGCAGAGACTACCAAGCGTCGGCGTTCCGCATAGCGTGCTAATTGGTGATCACATGTTCCAGTCGCATCGTACAGCTGTAAAAGTAAAGGCTCACGTGACACAGGCTCTCCAACTTCTGGCTATAAATCTGATACTGTTGTATCTGCACGCTCTATCAACCCAGGCATTTGAAATTAGCAGGTCAATTTGGCAGGACTAGTCAATAAGGTCTGAGTCTGTATTGTTCATGAGTGTTGAACTGGTTTCGATCGAATAGAGCGGGCCTTACTGCAGGCGACATACGCCACGAACCAGAAGACGAACTTCACATCAGTTACCGACGTTTGCGCCGCCCTAAGGCCATTGGTTTCCGGTGTTTCTTGATCGTGAAAGACTTTTATTCAATCGAGAAGCTCTTGGAGATCATGTTGCGGCATGATATGGGTTCGCAACGTCATGACCGGGCAATGGTTGGCATCAAGACGTAGACCATCTCAGTGTTCAAGGGGACATCTCGCCACTACGGAGATGCACCCATTCTCGATGCTCGAAGGTCTGCGTCCGTGTGGACGCACGTCCAGCTTTACTCTGGATCATAGAAATAGCGCAACGTATAGCCCCCGGCGCGATTCGTGGGGACTCAGCGACAGACGTTTGTAACAGCTGATATAACCTCCGGAATGGCATATGTAGCGGAGACAAGTCTGATTAGCGAATCTGTTTAATGGTCACAGTCAGTGTGAGTTTCAACATGTCGAATCTTTCGCATTCGTGCTCCGTCTTCTTTCGAATGCGTGCTGGGAAAGTTTTGACGTGATAGCACCTGCGACACCTCGGTTTGGACTGCAGAGTTGCAGTACTCCATCCTCTGTGAAGCTCTTCATGACAGATGACAGCTGTTGTATTTGGGATAATTGTCGTTCTCACTTGATCGAACGAGTTGCCGGTCGAATTGGCGTGACTGCTGGACTTAACACACCGTTTATTCCCCTGTCTCTAGTCCGCCGTCGAACCTGTGCCTAGAGGATCAAAAGAGGACAAATCGCGGGCCGAGCGGGTTGTCGGTGTTGTGGGGGTGTGATTGGCTCGGTCGATTTGTCCGATCCAAATCGTTGATGATGGCTGCGCTGTGTTGACTGTGTACCGTACGAGAAGACAAACGTAGCGCCAGATCTACGAGTTGATCGCTGGAGCTGGTAGATACTTTCGAAACGTCACCGCGTGCCAGCAGCATCCATTTGGTGCTTTTGAGGACTTGGTAGCTGCAAAGCCACAGAAAGATTGGTCCTGGATCACCCTCGCCATTTCCAGTGCCCAAGGCGTCAATGAGACGTGAACCATCGCTGATCAATCAAAGCACGTCCGACGCACAGTGGGACTCGGCATTGACAAATTCAGCGCCCGAGACGAAAGCCGCCCACTCCAATCGTTTCAGGAAGATGCATTTCCAGATTATTAAGGCCTTGGAGCGCGCTGAATGACTTCGTTGTCGTTCTTCAGGGCTATCGTCCGGCAGTCTGGCGCTTCCACGGGCGTGACGTCGCGACCGTAGGGGAAAACGATGGTTGGGTATTGCTGGAGAAGTTTTCCGCCAATTATAGGTGAGAGACAAGGGGGAAGAAGTTTTGTCCATGCTCAAGCCAGTCGAGCGGTCCTTGCGTGGCACAGATTAAATCTCCCCTGCATCGAGACCAATGACGAGCACATGATGGGAACACGCTAACGCAACAGTGACACCATTTTGACCCATCCCCACACAGCACTTCAAAGTTATGATCTTTCAGATGAGCGAAACAGCAACTACCGGACTTCGCGCATTGCTTGCTCCCCGTTGCGAGCTTGCAGACGGTGTATCGACGGCTTGGGCGTATTCTGCAGGCCGGACTTCGTCAGGATAGATCTGGCGCATCTCCAAGGTACCCGGCTATCCTTGTATAATCCACTGTCCATAGTTTGCTGTACATCATTGCACACTGGGCTGTTGAAAACGTCTACCGAGACGCATATTGCTATGCTTGGAGCCGGCGTCGTTTCATTTCGCAACGGTGCATACAAGGTTCTCAATGTTTATGTGGATCCGTAGACTGTGTTGGAGGCATGTGCATGCCGAGCAGAAGATCTGTAGCGTGCATCGGCGATGAACCATCGGCATCGTGAAGCCACATATTAGGGTCGCGCATTGCTCTTGGAACTGTTATGCGTGAACCAGCTAGCGTTGCTTTCTCTGCGTGTCCACCGCTTGAGCCAGCCTAGACGTGTTCACGTTGTCGCTACAGGTTTCCGTGTTACCACCTAATGTGGGCTCAGCCTGATAACGCGCTGGATGATTGACTTTCTGGTCGAGTTTCTGCAGCTTGCATTGGTCGAGAAGGGGAGGTGAAAGTGTTTGGGAATGCATTGTTGCACCTGAACACGCGGGGAAAGGTTAGGCGGGGTTTCGTACTGTCAAGACGGATAGCGTTGAGTGAAGCTGTACAGCTGGGCTGACGGCGAACTGTTCCGGCTTGAACAGAGAAGGTTCCACAAACGACTACCCATGCAGAAGCGAATGAAGGGTAGTGGTGTCGCTGGACATGCGTCATCGTCGCAATATCGAATTCCGATGTTTGCGGTGATCTGACCTTTTGTTTGCCTAAACCTGAAACTGACCCGAGTGCCGAGTTTACTTCAAGAGGCCGACAGATAGCAGGTCGATGCTGGCAGGGTGCGTGGAGCACATGTAGAGGCTGTTCCGAAAGCAGACGACAGCAGTGGTCCCTGAGCGAGCCCCGGTCATTGATTGGCTCGGTCAACATTTCCAAGCTTCTTGACAGGCCGCCGCAGGATTATCTCAGCACATAATCATGATGGGCCATACGGTTAGTGACGAGCCTGGGCGGCCCCAAGGTGCTCTCTTGAATCTCAAGGTCTGCTGGCAATCTCTTGATTCATTCCCTCGCTAAAACTGGAGCCGCATGCAAATGCATGCCCCAGCAGAACATCAGCGGTCCAGCCAGACAAACACTTCACCGTTCCATCCGCCACGGTCACTGCCGATGTCCCCAACTGTTATCAACCTGAGGAGTGTCAGTTGTTGATTGAAGCACCGTCCATTACGTTTCAGTCGGTGTCGCGCGCGTTTAGACGATGTCCTCAACACCAACATACCCAACAAGTGTCGGGACGACGCCACTCGGGCAACGCAAAGTCGCGATTCCTCGATTGCAGAGACCCGGACAAGGACAGAGTGCAGTCAAAGACAGACGCCGGGTTCCGCGTGCATGCACCGCTGTATGTTGCCATTCCTCGAAAAGTTTGACGATCCTGGTGTACTTCACCTTTATCTGTCGTAGTCGCGCCTGTCGCAGTAGTTCGAGAGGTCAGTCCTGATGATCATCTGGCTAACGAGGCACACTACATTTAGTGTCGGTCTCATAAGATCAAATGCACCGGTGAAAGGCCGCACTGCAAGCATTGCGCGAGTACGATTCGAGAATGCGTATACATTATGCCTCGCAAGGACAGGCTGAAGATGTGAGAACCATTCAGGTAGCGGTGGTAATGAGTCGTAAGCTGACTGAGTCAGCGTGACTGAGAGATGTCAGCAGATGGCCAGCTTGTTGAAGGGCTTGAGGTCTTGCGCGAGCGCGGATGATGCCGCCAAAATTGCAGGCCTTTTAGAAGCTGTGGGTAATGGACGGATTGTGAACAACTGGCCTAGGGTACTGACAAGACCGCAGGTCGACAAAGAGATCTCAGAGGCTCGCGAGGCTACAGCGCCGTTCATTCCAGACACTGATGGTAATGGTTCACAAGAAATTATCGAGTCGAGTATCCGGGATCGCCAGGAAGAGCTCGATACAGAGGCCTTGAATTTGCTCGACGAGGACCTGCACGTCAATGACCGAGCGCGTGCTACTGGCTTCGTCGGCAATAACTCTGAAATGAAGTGGCTGCGAGCTGCTGCCCTGGCACACCCAGAGCAAATAGAGGAGGAACCCAACGCTTTGCACCGAAGAGACTCATACACCAGCGGACTTGGGAACGAGCAGATTAGCGCGTACAGCTTTTGGATCGACAATGAGAATGTGGATATCGACTTCTTCGTCGATCCCCACGACTTGCCCCAGCTAGACATCGCCGAGAGGCTTCTCAGTTGCTACATGAGCAAAGTGCACGACTCCTTTCCCATTCTGCCTCGCAAGACTTTTGGAGATCAGTTCCGCAAGTATTTCACAGCGCTGGGAAACGGCAACGCACCTCGACTCTGCCCCAAATGGCAGGCAATTCTCAATCTGGTCTTCGCGATCAGCGCTAAGTATTCGCACTTGTCCAAGGCCACGTGGCAAGCAGATGCGCGTGACCATCTTATCTATCAGGCGCGAGCCAGGACACTTGGTCTGAACGAACAAACCATCACCAATCACCCGGACGTTCCACAAATTCAGAGCCTTGGGCTCCTTGCGTTCTACTGGCTCTCCGTTGGGCAAGTCAGCCGGTATGCATTCCCCTTTCCTGGTGGCGTTTTCAAGAAGAGATACTAACGGATCAAAAGTGCGTGGACCATCATTGGAATTGCCCTCCGATCTGCGTATACACTCGGGCTTCATGTCCGCAACACAGACCCTTCTGCCACGGCAGCGAAGCGGGAGACTTTGGTCCGCACATGGTGGTCTTTGTATTCGCTCGAACGAACCCTCAGTATCGTGACCGGCCGGCCTAGTATCATTGTTGACTCTTTCTGCTCGGTGCCTTTGCCAATGCCGGTGAATGAGGAACAAATTACGGATCAGTTGGAAGCTGCGTTCCGAATGCGGAAGAGCAGCTCTACAAGCATCATTCTGACACCCCACACATGGTCCAGCGGTGCGATCGATCCGTCCCATGCACTTGTCGGACTGAGCACAACGGAGGCAAATTCTGGCTCATTCTTGAAGGCCGCTGTACAGTTGTCGAGCATTCTGCAGAGCGTACTCACTTCGCTTTACACTGCATCGACCGTTGTCGGGTCTGTAGCCGAGGAACAGCATGAGATGGCGCAGCTGGACCAACGCCTTGACCAGTGGGTGCTTTCGCTTCCCAGCGAGTTCAACTTCCAGGACCCAGCGAATAATGGCAACGCAATGTTCTCTCGTGAACGTTTACTTCTCGGGTTCCAACTGTGTGGCGCCAGGATGTTGCTAGGCCGACCATGTCTGAGTCCCCGAAGACAAGCATGGCGAGAGGAAGCTGAAGCATTATTCTCTCGACAAATGGGTAACAGCTGCATTGGGGCAGCCAAGACAGCGATTGACTTCCTGCCGGACGAGCCCGATACTCGCTTCATATATGACCAAGGTCCTTGGTGGTGTATTGTTCACCATTTGATGCAGGCAATCTCCGTGCTTCTTCTGGGCTTGTCATACCTCGCACCCACTTTGCAGGACAGCATGCTGTTGATGCACTACGTCAAGAAGTCCATTCGATGGCTGCAGGCTATGGATGACCCTACCGCTGAACGAGCCTGTCAGGTGGCAATGAGTACCTTCGAGACCGTCTCGAGGCGATATGCTGTCGATGTGGCTGGTATGTGGCGGATGGATTCCGTTCATGAAGGCGAGGGGTCACCTCAGCGTCCTGCCGACCCTAACATGATGGGGTACATGACCACCCAACAGTACATTCCGCGAGATGCGGTTATGGTACCCGGGTACTCAAGCTACGATGCTGCGTCGTTTGGACCGGCATTCCTGGCTGACCACGGGACTGCTGTGTTCAGCGACGACTTTTGCATGTCGAGATAATTTTCCTGAGGCGAGTTTTCTCCATTTCGACTTGTGGTGGCAACATGATGTCTCTCTTTACGTCTCGGTCATCTTGGAGTTCGGTCGTTCATGTCGTATTCAGCGTTAGGCATGCTCGGCCGTGGTGGCTTCCCTGCAATGCATCATCGGAGTCTTGTTGGTAGTGTACAAGCTGTTTTGGAGGGTGAGGCTGATATTTGGGTCCAAGGATCGCTGACGTCATTGTAGACGGAGTCGCACATCTGCCGAAGGCATATGCCAGAAATATGGGGATCGCGCATTATATATTCATATGGGGCGTCTATGTATTCGATCTAGTCCCAAATAACTGGATCTGCACGGGCTTTTTAGTCGACCATGTTTCGCAAAGAGTGGCCAATCAACGAATGGGCCGAACCACTCGCTGTGCAGAGTACATAACTGCGGGTCAGGCCCTGGCTTTCCACGCCCTGTCCGCGAGACGGAGTAGGTACCCGCTGCGAATCATGACAGTACAAGATTACATCAACCCTCGTGAGCCCTGTATTGGCACATGCGGCACCGCGTCTCTTCCGGCGACGACGGCCCATACCCGGTCCAGAGTTACCACTAGTACCTAGTGTACTTGATGGAGACAGAACATGCCATCTATGACTCCTTTGCAGAATGGCGCCGAAGGACATGGCCATAGAAATACTTCATGGCTGCGTCAGCGACGCATGATCCTCATATTGACTATTCAGTGATCAAGGGATCGCGATGCGAGTCAATGCTTTGGGCGAAGGCAAGACAAATACATATATGCTTGTCTGGCCCAGTCCAAAACTATGATACTCTCTGCAGGTTGCGAGGAGAAGCGTGCACATCTTCCTTCGTTCAAGTTGCCCGGCGCCGATCATCGAGTTCGGGACCGATGTCCATGACCAAAGCATACGAAACGTAGGTATACCGCTTTCGTATCAAATGGTGCAGCTGACGGTGTACGTAATCTCAAGTCATCTCAAGCGTATGAAGCACATCGATAACCTGAAAGAACGTGTACAGGTTGTGTCGAGCTATCAGAACCTTGCTCCTTTACACCCGCGCGTCTACAGTACCAGAGGTTCAAGCCATGAGCGGCAGCTCTTGCTCAACACTACAATACGTGCAAATCTTTCGTCTTTGCCTGTGTCAACACACGAGCACCACCAAACCATGCTATGGCGAACTCACAGCCATGCATAAGTCGAACCCACGTGGGTATGCTATGGGGATGCGGCCGATCACAGGAAGCGATGGCTGCACTTGTGTGTCTTGGTTACCGTCCAGTAAACAGGAAACCAATCCCTCAGAAATCGGTGGATACCATACCCAACCCAATTGCACGCGGTACGCGAGGACTCGAATCAGCACTACTCCTGAGTATGCACCCCACGATACATTTATATTGTTAATTGCCATAGTGTACAGATGTGGACCATGCGACAAGTCAGCTTGGGGTCTTGTGTCTTGCAAGCGGTGCATCTCCCACTGGTAAATCATGGAGAGAGCGGGATGGCCTATCTGTAAGTGACGCACGAGACTGTAAGACACTTGGGCCAGTCAGTCACGTCGCCGCCAACGCTCTTGCTCATTGGCACACATAAGAACCAACCGGCTTTTGATGCATGCATACGTCCCACATCGCATCCGGATGGACTGGATGAATGGCACTGTGTTACACTCACGAGCAGCAGACAGGCCATGAGTCGGGGATCGGGGTCACTTCCGGCGTGATTTTTCCAGGATGTCTGCCACTAGACTTTGTAGAGTCAATTAGATGGACGCCTGTCATCAGACTGACGGCAGAGCACTACTCAACTGTTACATCACAACTGCTGATGACGGTATCGTGTCGACGTTCGCAACACACGACATGCGGCGAGCTCTGGACTCCCAGGGACACGACTTGCGACGCGTCACTGGAAGCGCGGATATACGCGACCATACGAGACACAGCGCGCGAAAAGGAGACTGTACGCGAACTTTATGAGAAAAAAACATCAACTCATCTGGTTGGTAGCTGAGTGTGACTATTGGAGTCTTGCAATGCCTGTAGGTCACGACACCATGACAGCCTCGACCGCTCTTCAGCAGATTCGTGCTTTTACTGGTGTGGAAACAAACTGTCCGGCGCTTCTTTTATTGCAAAGATTCGAGCCTGTCATCCCCTGCTGCCGTTCACCGGGCACCCACCCACATCACACCGCACAGAGCTGGCCAACCCTGAATATCATAGGCTTTAATTTGGCCCTGGAGAAGAATCTGCATCAATATGAAGGCCTGAATGGAGTGAATATCAATTGTGACCAAAATTAGAAAATCGCTTGCACGCCACCAAAACTCGTTACGAAAGATTTCTCACCTCGAAACGAAATCCGCAATACAGGTGGGGACTGGTGATAATGCGGCCTAGGCTCGTGAGCTGCGTGTCTGTGACCCGGAGATTCCGAATTCGAGTTCTAAATGCCTGTGAAATGCCTATCCGTCGTACTTATGCTCACTGCCGCCGATGTGATGCTTGGCGGGTTTGTCGCGAGGCCCTGCTGCCTTTGCAATGCAGCCAGCCAAAACATCGCAGTCGGCGTTATGAGAGCGCTGGAAGTTGTAAGAGCGCTCGAACTTCAGCCTGGCGCGCCCGGAGTTGCGTCCAGCCACCGACCGATACTTGTCACGTCGAACCCTCAGCTCTACCATGTCCACAAATAGCCTCTTTTCCTACGGTCGAACCTCGAACCCGCGAACGAACTCTGCGAGTGCACCCCTGGGACCGTGAGTGAGGGTCCTACGGATAATGCCTACATAGTACCCGCGCCGCACAGTGCATTTGTCACGAGCGGAGATGAAAGCAGCCACATACACTCAGCGGTCGCAAGCGAACGGTCATCTACAGACGTACACTATATACATTGAAACACAAGAACTGGGCATAGAGGGCTGAACGCTGGCATCAAGGACAGTGTTGCATTATGCGACCCGTGGGCAGTTGTACGTCGGGTCGTCGAGACGGGCACATTGCATGTCAATGGAGTGCAGTACGCGATCAGGGGCCACGATTCTTGCCTGAAGCCGAGATAGATGCCACTGTGCTCAATCGAAGCAACAAGTCAACCAACACACCGCTCCTCTCGCAGACGCTCTCACGGAGCGAGGTGGCACCCGCCTTTACAACACGAAAACGATACCCATCAAGTACTCGGCGCATGAGTCCTCACCTGCGGCGCACGCTAACCATGCCGCAGACCATCACCGCGACCACCCTACATTGACTATCCGTAAGCAATTGCTCGATGTACTCATCCCGCAAGACACGCCCAAACCCCAGGAACGACCTCAAGCACCACGCCTCACCGCAGCCATGCATCGGACCATGCCGCACGCGCCCACCACAAGGTTTTTTTCCATGTAAAACCATGAGCAATAAGTAACTATAAAGACTTTGAAATCTGTCCATCGGCCTTGAAATCTGTCCATTGGCCTTGAAATCTGTCCATCGGCCTTGAAATCTGTCCATCGGCCTCGAAATCTGTCCATCGCCCATCGCCCACCCAGCGAGACAGCGCACATACGCAGCCACAGCTCTCCAGCGAGCTGCTTAGCTCAGCATCGCAAGGCAGTGTGTTGTAATGCAAAAACTGCGCGGGTGGCGGGTTCGATGACACAGACGGGACGGGGTTGGCGCGGGGCGTTGGGACGAGTGGTGCGGTGGGGATGAGAGCGCCATGTCGCAGCACGGTACCAGCATGTCTCAGAGGCGGAACTTGCGGCCCAAAGAGAGTGGTTCCAGGACGGTGTGGAGGTGTGCGAAGAGGGTCAGAGGCAGTCACGGGTCGTGCAGTTTGATCGGGCAGGCACGTGAAGACGGAGTGGTGGCGCATGGTGTGTTTGATCATCTGTGTTGGTCGTCTGTGTTGATCATCTGTTGATCGTCTGTGTTGATCGTCTGTGTTGATCGTCTGTGTTGGTCGTCTGTGTTGATCATCTGTGTTGGTCATCTGTGTTGGTCGTCTGTGTTTGTATTTGTGTTGATTATCTGTATCTGTAGTTGTGTTTGTGCTATCCAACACGCCTGCTAGTGATACTATCTTCAGCGTCTCGGATTGGAGTGTCGAAGCCACCCATCTCGCGACCCAGTTTCGCGCCGGCGACACCGGCGGGTGCGGATCCTGGGTGCTGCTAAGCGTTGAGTGTGCGGAATGTTGTAGATGGCGTTGTGGATGGTGTGGAGGGGCGTGTGGAGGGGCGTGTCGAGGTGAGCGCTCTCGACGGTGCCGTCGCAGCTATCCTCCCCTGTGCTGGCTTGACGCGGCGCTGCTTCGCTCTCGGTCGCGGTCTCACCCTCTTTGAGCATCTCGCCCCTTGGAGTGTATTGCCCCTTGGAGTGTATTGCCCCTTGGAGTGTATTGCCCCTTGGAGTGTATCGCCCCTTGGAGTGTATCGCCCCTTGGAGTGTATTGCCCCTTGGAGTGTATCGCTGCCTTCGGCTGTTTCTCCCTCACCGACCATGTCTACCTGTGCAGCCGTCTCACTCTCGTCAGCCGTCTCACTCTCATCAGCCGTCGCACTCTCATCAGCCGTCGCACTCTCATCAGCCGTCGCACTCTCATCAGCCGTCTCACTCTCGTCAGCCGTCTCACTCTCGTCAGCCGTCTCGCTCTCGTCAGCCGTCTCGCTCGCACCAGCCGTCTCAGCCCCTTGGCTTCCTCTCGCCCAATCTGCGGCGTACCCCTTTCGCGCGGCAGATTCCTCGTATCCGTTCCTTGCCGTGCGCTGTGACGAACCGTAGCTCCCCGCACTACCGGGGGATGGGTATGATGGCAATCTACACCATGTTAGTGTCCCCGCTCAGGAATGACTGCCCGGAGATGTTACCTGGTTCCCGAGAGCAATGGATATCCTCGAGCTGTCGTGGTCCCAGCCCAGGTTGAACTCGCCGTCCGCACCTGGATTCCACTTGAGGGCCGAAAAGTCCTTCGCCCGCCAGCTCGCGACGGGTATCTCGCGCTTCTCAACGTCCCAGACGGTGACTGCGTCTGGCCCAGCGGCTGCCAGGAGGGCACCGTCTGGCGAAAAGGCCGTCTTGAAAGCCTGGCTGTGGTCCGTCGTGTCGAGTCGGCGGACACAGTCAAAGGGTCGATTGGCATCCCATATCCGTGCGTGGCCCGATAGCGAGCACGTGGCCAAAAGCGTCGAGGGCAGCCATGTGCCGTTGGTCGTTGGGCTGCTCGCTTTGTGGATGCGGAAATCGAGGTCGTTGGGGTATCGGTCGGGATACTCGTGGACTTGGAGGTTGATGGAGTCGTTGGGATGGAGGATGCCGAGGTAGTACTCTTGGCCGCGGATGCCAAGAGCTGCAATGATGCCAGACCAGGGGTCGAACTTGACCGTCTCCCATGTGACTTGGGTGTCGAGGGTTCGTTGAGTGGTCAGAGAATCGCCGTCCACGTCGTAGATCTTGAACAGCTCTGTCCCGCAGACGACAAAGGCAGAGTCGCTGATCCAGTAGGCATCGTAGATTTGTGTTGCGGTGAAGTCGGTCCACGCGGGTATCGAGTCGCTGTCGCTCTTCCAGATCTTGATGGAGCCCTTTTCGCCGTCTGTCGAAATGGACAGCAGCAGCTCCCTCCCGGCGTTCCACCGCAGCGTCGTGACCAGGCCCGCCGTCGACGAGATGGCGTCTGCCGTGTCGCCGACGACCTTGATCAGCTTGTCCATGGTCATCTTCTCGCCCAGCTCGTTGTGACACTGCTCGCGTGCGGACACTATGACTTCGCCCTCGGACTGCCAGCACAGCGCGGTGATGTCAAAGTTGCTGACGGGTATGGGCAGGTCCATTGTCTGCACGCTGCACTCGCGGCCGGCTTCTGACGCGGCGGCGACGTTGTGCAGCTGCAGGACCGACTTGCCGGCCGACAGCAGCAGCGGGGCGTCTTCTGGCCCCCACGACGTGTGCTCGACCATCTGGTGGAACGCGGCCGGGACGGGTATGAAGGTGGTGGCTGGTGCGAGGTCCTTGATGTCGTCTGTCTGGATCAATGCGTCGGCGCCAATGGTCAAGGTGGAAATGGGAATCTCGCTGGCGGACGGCGACTCGGCCTCGGAGGGCGGTGGCTCCGACTCGGCGCCGAGGCTATTGCCCGTGGCCGCGTGGGCGGTCCCGTTGTGGTCGAGCTCCATGGCGTCCCCGTTGAGCTCTGCCTCCGACGGCTCCAGGCGTGGCTCGGCCGGCACGCCGTTGGTCTTGGCCTGCTTCTTGCGCTTGAGGCTCTTCTTGGGCGGGGGGTCGGGCGGCGCGCCGTTGGCAGCTTCGGCAGCGAGCTGGTGGGCGGGGATGCCCTTGTCGAGCGTCAGCAGCTCGCCGTTGCGCTTCGAGTAGGGGTGGCCGTGGTCGGTGCCAAAGTCGTACTGTGTGCTCGTCTGCGGTGGTCAGCCCGGGCGACGCCGTCGCTTGCTCGCTCGCACATACGTTCGAGGCCTTAGCGTGCAGGCGGTCGAATTCCATGCCGTCCTGCAGGATGCGGACGAGCGCGTGCGAGGAGACGTGCTTGGCAAAGGGCAGGGAATCGGGGTCGCGCAGCCAGCAGCGCGACAGCTGCAGCGCGGCGTTGCCGAAGCCCGCCTCCTGCAGGTAGCGCCATACTGGGCAGAGTCAGCGAGGTGCCCGAGGAGCTCGACGGGCCCGAGGCGCATTCAATGCGCCTCGAGCCCCGCAAGCCGGAGCGCGCGCGGCGGGAGGGGACGGTACCTAGGTAGTTGACGACGTTGCTGCTGAGGGCCATGGCGCATTCTTCGGGGCGGCAGCGGGCGCCAGGAGGGACACGGGCGAGGAGGGCGAGGCGGGCGACTGCGGGCCGCTGTGGTGTGCGCGCAGTGAAGAACGGCGGCGGCGGCGGCGGCGGCGGCGGCGAGAGAATGGCGGCGGTGCTCGGGGGTTGCGATTGTTCGCAATGTACTGCTGTGCAGGCAGGACTGCAGGTGCATGGTCTCGAGGGCCGACGGGCTGCGTGCTGCGATTCGTGCGGCTAAGCGCGACCCGCTTGTCGCTTTGCGGGTGTGCATCATCTGCGGACCCTGGTTCGCGCGCATCCACGTCGAACTGCTCCGCCGCGCCCTACCAGGAACCTCACTCCCACCGCGGCACCACCGCAGCACCACCGCAGCGCCGTCGCCTCCCCAAGGCCTCCCAGCCATGGCCCGCATCCACCTGCCGACCATGACCCGCATCCACCTGCCGCCCATCACCCGCGGCCTGCTGGCGGCCACGCTCGCGTGCACCCTGCTCAACTTTGCCCTGCGCCCGCACTCGACGTGGGTCGACAAGGTCGAGCAGCCGCTGCTCGCCGTGGGCAACGGCGTGCCCTTTCTCGCCATCGTGCCGGGCCAGTCGCTCGTCTACCCGTGGGTCGTCGGCCTGGCTACGGTCGTCGAGCAGAACCTCGCGGGCCTCTTGGTCAACGGCGCCGCCCTCTTCTACGGCGGCCGCTACCTGGAGCGCGCCTGGGGGGGCCGCGAGTTTGCCAAGTTCATCGTCGTCGTCGCTGTGCTGCCCAACGTGCTGACGCTCGTGCTCTACCTGGCGGCGTACGCCGTGACCGCTTCGACGGCCCCGCTCAGCACCACCATCTCCGGCGGCATCGCCCTCCAGGCCGCCTTCCTCGTCGCCTTCAAGCAGCTCGTCCCCGAGCACACAGTGGCCATCGCCAAGGGCCTCGTGCGCATGCGCGTGAAGCACTTCCCCGCCATCTTCCTGGCCGCCAACACCCTCTCCGGCGTCGTCCTCGGCACCGAGACGGCCCTGTTCCTCGGCTGCTTCGGCTTCCTCACCGCCTGGGTCTACCTGCGCTTCTACCGCCGAACCCCGTCGCTCGACTCGGCAGCCACGGGCGACGGCGCCGTCGTCAGGGGCGACGCCTCGGACACGTTTGCCTTTGCCCACTTCTTCCCCGAGCCCATGCAGACCCCGCTTGCCCGCTTCGCCGACGGCCTCTACAACGTGCTGGTGTCGCTCGGCGTCTGCACCCCGTTCTCCGCCGACGACATCGATGCAGGCAACGACCAGGCCAGCGCACGCGCCGAAGGCGGCCTGCCGAGCATCATGAACCCCGACAGCAGGGGCGGAGGAGGAGGAGCCGCGCGCGCAGAGGCCGAGCGGCGCCGGGCACTGGCGCTCAAGGCCCTCGACCAGCGATTGCACGCTGCTGCTGCTGCTCGCACTGCTGCGCCTGCCGCATCAGCCTCGGAGCCCTCACACGCCCTCGGCGGGACCAACTATGAGCCGGAACGACCAGACGCCCCGACCCAGCCTGTCTGATGATGATGATGATGATGATGCTGTTGATGCTGTTGATGATGTTGATGATGACGCCAACGTGGAAAACACTGCATCTTCCGTTGGCCAGCAACATTGGCACGAAGCACGGCGTCCCAACTGGCGTTTGTTTGTTTGTTTGTTTGTATGTATGTATTGCACCGCGAATTATACCCTCGCGTCTGCATGTGTGCACCCGCTACTCTGTTCATAGATCGCAGCCACAAGGGACGTCTCCGTCGTCTGTTACTCTCCACGCAGCCGTTGTTACTCTCCACGCAGCCGTTGTTACTCTCCAAGCAACCGTTGTTACTCTCCAAGCAACCGTTGTTACTCTCCACGCAACCGTTGT